CTCCGCTGCCTTTTGCTTTCCCTCCCTTTCCTCCTCGCTGTCCTCCTCCCTCTTTATTCTCCTCCTCTTCTTCCGCTCGCCTGTCCCGGCCTCCTTCTTTCCCTCCATTTCTCCTCCCACTCCGACTCTTTCCTGCTCTCCTTTCTGGGGTCAAAATTCTTTGCCCCTCTGTCTGCCCCGGAGGAGCCCGCGCGCTGGACAGGGGCTGTGCGTCCGGCCCTCGGGACGCTCGCTTCCCTTGGGCCTCCTTGCTGCACGGCAGGGGTCCCTTTCCATCTTCAGGGACCACCCATGTCTCCCGGGTACGACGCCCACGTTTTCGCCTGTACCAGTTTGAGATTTACCTAGCTAAAATGACACTCTAAACGTGTGTCCTAAAATGCCCAAACCCCTAAACCGTCACGCTATGTGTGGACAGGAGAAAGGGAAAGATTTTTAAATAATTGAGTACTGATCCTCTTAACTACCTTCACTTGTTGACCTACAGTTCACCTACGTATTGTATAGACCTCTACTGGGTCGTCGAGCATTGTCACCAGATTGGAGAGTTATGGGGCTTATGCTAGTTCTTTATCTGGTTATTCCTTAGCCATCAGAGCAGCAGTGATGATTAGCAGGCTTCCTTGATTTTAAAAGTCTATTTTTTTCTTTTATTGAGATTATTGATACATTTTAGGTATACAGTACAGTTACATTCATTATTGGGATCGTGTACCTTTACATGACAGGTGGTCTTGATTCTCATTTTTTCGCCTTGTCCCTGCCCTCCCTTCACCCTAGAACCTGAATTTAGAAATCATTTTTCATCCTAAGCTAATTATTTCAATGCTGGCAGGTGCAGAGTGCAACCAGAACATTTGTAAATTACCAATAAAACTACTTGTGAAAGAGTAGCTGGCACGGATATGCAAAGGACGCGTGTGGGGAGGACCAACTAATCACTTGCTGAATATTTATTAGGTCCCTTGAGGATGCTAAAACACATAAGGAAAACAACTGTCTCCCAGCATTTCATTATTGTTTTATTGCCAGAGTCACTCGGGTCACAAAATGACTTGATGAGCTAATGTCACTGAGAAAGTTTAATCTCTCAAAAATGTTTTTAAAAACTTTTCTAAAATACATACTAATTTAGAGTATATCACATAAGCCAGACAGGACCACCATTTTTTGAGACTGCCTAATTGTGATGCTGGATGATAAGAATGGCTTTTATATTTTAACAAGTGTGCACTATTGACTAGCTATTATTGGAGCATGTACTTGGCTGACCCACTTACAATCTCTTGAGCCAAAGTTGTTGATGCTTCAGGATACTGCACCTACTTGAGGATATCCTATCTGGTCTGAAATTTCACCACTCATGGCTGTCCTTCCAGGCTATGGAGGCAAAAAAGGAGCAGGAGAGGATTGGAGAGTAGAGCATGGTGGGAAAATAGATCAAATTATCTGCAAAACACTATAAACTTCTTGAGCTATGGTTATTACTCAATAAATGCAAGTTAAATGTAGTAGAATGGAATGAAACTACCCCCCCCAGCTATATTTAAGAGATGTCCTCACACATTCTATAAAGACAAGCTTCTATTTCCTTGAGGCACTGATGTAAGAGAGTTGGAGGGTGGGGTTGCTGATGAATCTAAACAAAGCAATAAGGAAGGCAAAAACCAAATGGGTCAGGTAGCTGAATCTCTTGGTAAGGAGTGGAATGACTCCTGTCAGATCACATGGAGACAACGTGTTTGTTTCCTTTTAGGTTATGGCTTTGCTTTCTTGCCTCAGTTATTGTGTTCCTCCTGATGGACTAACTGGAAGTCAGCTGACTGGTAATTGGGCTGACTATTTGTATATCAGTTGCCTACATTGTAGCTCAGTTGGCAGGAAGGGGGTACTACACTTGGAGTGGGAAAGTAGTAAGAAGCCATATAACATATGGTAAGAGTGTGGTGTGTCCCGCATGGGCTTGTATGCTCAAAGTTTTGTTGCTAGTGATGTGATGTTAAGAAGTACTTGGACCTTTAAAACTTGAAGCTTAGTAGCAGGTGATTGTTATGGTTTATATCTAGACACACACACAAAACACACACACACACACCAAAGCCTCATAGATGGGGCTTTGCGGGGGGTGACTGGATCATGGGCTATGTGAATTAGTCTACTGATGAGTTTATAGCTAAATGTGACTAGGGAAATGAAGTCTGGATGGGGGAGCCAGGTTGGTGGGGGAGTGGCCTGGAGACGTGTATCACCCTCTCACCTCCCTTGATCTCTGTTTTGCAGCCATGTCATGAGCAAGCCTCTTCTGCCATGCCCCTCTGCTATGCTGCCCTGCCTTGGAGCCAGGCAATTATGGCTCTACAAACTGTGAACCAAAATAAACCTTTCCTGCTTCTTACTATAAGATAACAATGAAATAAAATATCAAATATGTAATGAGCACTTAGAAAAGACATAAACATTTTCATATCAGCTGTGTACTTGCTTACAAAACCTAAAAGATAAAATCAGAAATAAATATCCATGTGAATTACAATGTAAATACAAACAAAAGTCTACCACAGACTTGTTTCAATTGTTACATTTAAGGCAGTCTTCACACATGAAAGCCACATGTTCTATGTACAAGTGTTGCTTACACTGACAGCACACGTTTTGTTTGCCTGTCCTTTTTTGTGGGGCACAGCTGACGCCATTTTGGTTTTCCTGTTGTTGTACTAGGTTTTTGTGATGTTGCACCTGCCCATTTGCCTGTGAGCTCACCAGTGCACACAATATTTTTGTGTAGTTCCCTGGACAGAAACATTTTGTCCTTCCTCTGTTGTAAATGATCTCTTGTTAGTTTCATTCCTAATCCTCTAAGAAAATTTCTCCATGATATTTTGCACTTGTTATTTTCTTTGTAAGCTATCAAACTATTCATGCCACATATATTTAGGTCCCAAGCCCTATTTCAGGGTGCCATCTGCAACCAACCCATCTGACTGGCCTTGTTCTGGGACCTAAACCCGCTACTTTGTTCTACTTGGAACTAGGATGAATGACAAAGAGACAGGGAGTCAGTTTAACATGCACGCAGCGTGGGTGGGGGTCCTGCTTCTTAGTAGGCAGAGGAGACACCCCCATCCCCACCCCAAGTCTGGCTCATCTTGCCTTTATTCACCCAAACATGGGCACAAGCAATCAAGGTAACAAGAGTCATCCACTTTTCAATATCCATTAGAACATGCTTAAGGTAAGCAACTTAACTTCAGCTGTCTTAAGTTTTCCCTAGAACCTGCAATATGCAATCACCCCTGAGTGCAGCCTTTCCCTTTGTGCTCACAGAGGAGAGCAATTAGACTTCAGTTCTCTTCTGCTTTCCTTACGATCTAGTAAAACACAACCATTGGCCAACACTTTGTGTTTCAAGTGACGCCATAGTTGTTGCATAACTCACCAACAACATTTACTCCACCTTTGGTTTCATTGTAAGAAGTTACCATCTCGGGCTTCATTGTTGTTGAGGTTTCTCTGTCAATTTTTCCATTGTTTGCCATATATAAGCCCAATGTTATGTTTTTCTGAAATCCAAAGATTGTACTATACAATTGTGTTTTGAAATTGCAACATTTCTTTAGGAATTTCTGCTTTGTTCTCCCATACAGTTCCTACACTGGTCAATTTGTGCTCTGTTAACAAATGTAACATCAATCAGAAACTGGTAAACCAATTGTGGAATGTCACAGTCCAATTAGTTTGGGAGATGGGGAGCAATAAGCCTGTTCACAACATCATTTGGTTCATTAGTATATGAATAAAGATCTGGTGCCTGAGTTCCAGGATAATTTCTAAATTGAAAGTGTATGTTTTCACATCTAGCCAGATATATATTTTTATGCCATCAGAAGGCTTTTTTTTTTTTTTTTTTTCATATACTGCCTAAAGCTCCA